TACAGAAAATACAGAAGAGAGCAATAATAAGAAGCATATTCTGAATCTTGGGGAAATGCACATCATTAACTCTCTGCTTTCTCATCCGTTAAGCTGTCTCTACATTTATGTACTTTTGTGTCCACAAAAATTTCCTGTAAGAGAGCAATTTATTCTCTTTTTTGTTAGGCTCTATTAGTCAAGGACAAAGTACGAGTTCATAAATATCATCACAAATGGCCTTGTATTTATCTTGCCCAAACCAGGGGAATGCCTCTTCTCTTCACTGGCCCATCAGCCATGAAATGTCATTTCTTTCTCTACACTCTAATTCTCTTTTTGACTCTCCTACCCCCAGGTAAGTTGGTGGCTAAATATATGGGTCCATAGTTTGGAAAGCTATCTGGCTGGTAGGACAAGTTTTTGGAATAAGTCTTATGGGTTCAGAAACTTAATATCAGGCTCATTGAAATTGTAACAGAAAAACATAGGAAAAAAAAAAGGACATTCCATTGTCATTAACCAAACTGCCCAATAAGATCACATCCTGATTATGTATCTTGGTGTGCCTTGGTAGGGCATAAACATTTGTTTGCTACGTTTCTGAGTATCATACTATAGCAACTTCTGTTACCATATTCACTCACTAATCAGAAGAGCTTGATTAAAACCCATTAACAGGCCCGTGCTGAGTGAGTCTTACGATGAGATTTGAAACATTTGAGTGATTATTTGAAATAAATGAAAAGTTAAAGAGTAGTTGCTTTGTAACATGGAGTTACAGTTGGAAGGAAATCATCCTTTTTGAGGCAGTGGTCAAAGCACACGCAAACAACATCGTACTCTGCAGAAGAAATCACAATGGGATGTGGTTATATACAACAGATGGCTTGCAACTTGAAGCCAAGATCTAGACAGAGAATCGGACTTTGGTTACGTGAAGCAGTATTGAGTAAAATCACCAAAAATGAGATGGTTACATATAATACAGGTTCATAGCACAAGAATGAATAACACATAACTATGGATACAAAAAAATATTGAGTGAAATTTCATGGGCTAAGATTGTTACTTGAGACTTCAGAAAAATAGGCATAACCTAAAACTGGTTGAGAGATACAATTGATAAATCACAAATATAGAGAAATATATATTGAAAAATGAGATAAAATACAAGTATAATAAAGATTAACAAAGAAAAATGTTATTTTAAAACATCAGTTCACTTTATGATGTGATGATATTGCTCAGAAAAAGATGCTTAGAATAAGCATTTCAGAATATATTAGGTTGACATCCTGCAGAAGTTCCAGGGAGTTACAGAAAATTTAAATACATATACATTAAAATTTCTATACTATTTATATTCCATCCTTTCTTGTATAGTTGGAACTTCTCTGTAGCAGTCCACTATTTATTTTCATTTCTCCTAGATTGTTACCAGCAACATAAAAATATGCTATTTTATTTTAATTTTTAAAAGATTTGTTGTATTTTTTTTAATGTTGGAAAGACAGTTTTCCAGAGAAGGAAAGACAGAGAGAAAGATCACCCATTCATTGGTTGACTCCCCAGGTGGCCTCAATGTTTGGAACTGAGCTGATCCAAAGCCAGGAGCCTGGAGCTTCTTCCGGGTTCCCACGTGGTTGAAGGGTCCAAAGGCTTTGGGCTGTCCTCAACTGCTTTCCCAGGCCATAAGCAGGGAGCTGAATGGGAAGTGGAGCAGCTGCGGCACAAATTAGTGCCCATATGGGATGTTGATCCTTGCGAGAGGAGGAGAAACAGATTGAATCATGCCAGGCCCTACTTCTCTAATTTTTTTTTAAGGATTATTTCTTTTTATTGACAAGTCAGATATGCAGAGAGGAGAAGAGACAGACAGGAAGATCTTCTGTCCAATGATTCGTTCCCCACGTGGACGCAACGGCTGGAGCTGAGCTGATCCAAAGCCAGGAGCCTCTTCCAAATCTCCCACACATATGCAGGGTCCCAAAGCTTTGTGCCATCCTTCACTGCTTTCCCAGGCCACAACAAGGAGCTGGAGGGGAAGCATAAATGCTGGGACGTGAACCAGCACCCATATGGGAATCCCAGAGTGTGCAAGGTGAGGACTTTAGCTGTTAGGCTACTGTGCCAGGCCTACTTCTCTAATCTTAAGAACAAAATTATTTTTTTGGTTTTCTTCTGATGCCTACTCTCACTGATTTGCTTTGTTCCACTTTACATCAAAATGCCTTAAAGCAATTGTCTGCGATTCCTTTCATTCTCCCGCACATTCTAATTAGGCATTCTCTCCATTCTCCTACTCTGCTGCTAAGACTTACTTCATTAAAGTCATCTCTAATCTCTATGGTGCTGGATCCAATGGTCATTTCTTCTTGCAACCTTCCTGTACCTATTACAGTCATGGGACAACAGTGGCCACCCCATGTATCAGACATTTTTTCATTTGATTTTGTATGGCATCAGTTGCCTATAAGCATATTTGACTGGAGATACTTCCTCAGTTCCCTGTGTTTTCCCCTCCTCTTTAGAGGACAAAGCTTCTGTTTCTCTTCTTTTCTCTCTGTACATCTATTCTTGGGAATTCACAGCCAGACTTGTCCTTTTAAATGAACCTCTTTGCTGAACTCCACGCTGCTAAGGAATTATCTAGTGGCATGATTGGCAGCTCTACTTGAGCTTGCATTCTGAAAAGTAGTATATCAAAAATCAAACTCATGATTTCCTTGACAGACCTGGTTGCGCCATTTCTCTCCCCACAGAATGTTGTGACTATTGTGCCTTCGAGTTTTCTTAGTGCACCTGTACCCTTAACTCCCTGTTGACACCCCTGCAGTTAAATAGTTCTCTTTCCTGTTCTTTGCCCAGCCTCAGGCAGTGGCTGCTCCACATTTAGTGTCTGAAGACATGGGCATTGGCCTCCTTGCCCTGCTCTCAGACCACATTACTCTACTCGACTCCAGCTCCTCTGACGGGAGGAAGTGGAGATTCTCTCAGCCTCCCAAACAGTGGCACAGGCCTGGCATCCATGAACATCCTCATAGGTGTGGGGCAGGCTGGGCTGCACCAGCTCATACAAAGGATGGCACAGATGGGACAAGCCATGTTGGGTAAGGGTCAAGAACCTGCTGACATGCATGACATTGGGTCTGGGAATAGCCCAAGCCAGGAAAATGTGGGAAACTCCCCCAGTGGGTCATAGTTCCTGCTGATAAGCATGTAGTCCAGGCCTCAGTGTTGGGTAAGCTGGGCAGAGTAGCTCCATCTGTCGGCAAGTGTGTGAGCTGGTTTTGAAAGGGGGTGGGCTGGGCAAAGCCGAGCAAACCATAGCCCACTGGCAACTGCAGAAACCAGGATGGAATACAGGTCATGCCAGGCCAGGCTGCCACACCTACTGAGTTGTATGAGCCAGAGATAAGAGCAGATTGAGAAGGGGCCAGTTTCCCAGCATCCATCAGTGAGAGTTGGGACTTGGAGCAGGCTGGGTCAAGCCAGGCTGCAGCATCCAAAGGCAAAGGCCAAGAGAAGGGAGGGACTATGCCAAACTGGGTCAGAGAAAGCATTGGCATACATGAGATCTATGGCTGGGAACAGGTCTGGTTGGGGAGTTAAGAGAACACACTGGCTGGATTGTGGGTCCCACTGGTGAGTGAAAGAGCTGGAGTCGGGCTGTGGTCTGGTCTGGACATGGCTATAGTGTCCATTGGCAAAAGTAGGGACTGGGTCTGGGATGTGCAAGACTGGGCTAGACTCCAGCACCTATTGGAAGCACATAAGAATCAAGATTGGTGTAGGATGGGCTGGGCTAGGTCTCTGTCCCTTCTGAGCCATACATAAACTGTGTCTAGATGTGGACCGGGCTTGGCTAGGCTGTAGCACCCATAGTAACAGCCAGATGGGCTGGGCCAGTCAGGGAAGGCCACTGTTTCTACTAGGACAAGAGGTAGACTAAATAGAGCTGGCCCTTGGACTCACCAGTAAGATGCACAAGATCTGGTATTGAGAGAGGTTCTGATGGAGGAGCCTGGGCAACTCCTCTGTCAGAACATAGTCTCTGCAGGTGAGTTTAAGAACCAAGCTGGGGAGCAGTCCAGACCAAGCCAGGTAATGGTATCCACAGATATACATTTGGTTCAATTTGGGGGCAAGCCAGCGTGGGCCAGTTCATATCACCCGCTGGCAAATCTGAAAGCCAGAATGGGGTGTGAGTCAGGACAAATCAGGCTGCAATACCAGCCAGTTCACACTAGGGCCAGGACTGGGAGCTGGCTTGGTTGGCTAGGCTGTTGTCCCCACCAGCACGAGCTGGAATTGTGGGTGTGCCAGGTTAGGTCAGGCTACAACACCCACTGGCAAATGTCGAGCTGAGGCAAGCCATAACAGATTGGGCCACAGCATCCAACCAGCACATGTGAGACCTGGGGGGAAATGGGCGAATCCATTAGGGGAGGTTGCAAAGAGATCCCCTGCTGGGCCATTATTCCCTCTGGTGAGTGTGAGAGAGCTGGAATTGGGGGCAGATCAGGTTGGGCAGGACTACAACACGTGTTGGCCTGCATGTGAGCTGGATTGGGGAAAAGCCAGGCTGGGTTGACTGTTCCTACTGGTACATGCATAAACCAGAGTGGGTGAGGTTTGGTTGGAAAGCTGTCGAGCTAAACTGCAGTACCACCTGGAGAGTGCAAGATCTGGGATTGGGAGTGGACCATGTAGAGAAACAGTGGCCCCTTCTCTCTTGGGTTGCCACTCTAACTGGTGAGAATGAGAACCAGGACTGCGGTGGGTGTGGCTAGACAGAGAGTGGCACCAACCAGCATGTGTGTGGGCTGGATAGTGGAGCTGGTTGGGTTGAACTGGGCTTCAATGCACATTGAAATGTATGAGAGCTAAATGGGATGTGGGACAGACAGGACCAGTCTGCTGTACATGCTGGCAAGCACAGGAACCAGGGCAGGAGGTGGGCCTAATAGGGGTTATTGTGGGCCACTCTGATTAGGCTACAACTCCCACTGGTTTGCATGGGGTTCGAGTGTTTGGTGAGTAGGATCGGGCTGGACTAAAATACCCATAGGTTTATGTAAAAGACAGGGCTGGAGAAAACTACCCAGCAATTGCAACTAACAGTGTGCATGTAGGCTAATTTGGGCAACAGACTGTGCCAGACCCTGTATTGACATGCACACACAAGAATCAGGTCTGAGATCACCTCAGATGAAGTTTCTTTGGAAATCCCCCCCAACTGAACCGCTGGACTCAGAACCCCAACCGTAGAGAAAACTGTAATTTCCAATGGTCTGACTGTGGAATGTATGTGTCAGAGCTGGGCCTTCTCAGTGGCTTAGATGGAGCAGTGGACAGCATATCCAGGTGCACATGGAGGATATGGCAGTACACTGGAGCCTGCAGAGGACACATGGTACCATAACAGAGGATGGAGGACGGAACAAATCAATCAACTACCCTAGCCAAGAGCTGGCAGTGAGTACCTGGGCAAATGGAGACTGAGGTAGACTATGTCAGCCAGTGGATTCTGGAGAGATTTCATCGTGGTTGGAGTGATAAGATCAGGAGCAACACAAAACTGTTGAATATCAAAATCACTTGAGCAGGACCCTCAGAGCATGCCCCACATCGGAGACTCTGGGACAGTTGAAAGGCTGGGCGTGGCTTCTCTCCTTATCCCTCCCCTCTACTCAGATACAGGAAGGAAAAAAAGAGAATATGAAAACAATGGTCTCACCCACTTTCCTCTAGCCCTTGACCCTTCACACCCTAATCAAATATGTAAAAATTTTCAAAAATGGAATTTATATAATTAAAAAGAAAGAAAAAATTAATTTAGTAGAGCTGCAAGATGCAAAATCAATGTACAAAAATAAGTAACTTTTGTTATATATGAGTGTTCTAATTTTAAAACAATCCAAGAGAATAATCTTATTTATACTAGCTATAAAAAATACTCAAGAATGAATTTAGTAAAAGAGGACAAATATCCATACACTGAAAAATATAAAATGTTGGTGAAAAAAATAAAAGATGTGGATATATAGAAAAACACATCATGTGTAAGAAAAACTCCAAGAAACACACAAAAAGGAGCTACAAATTCAATGCAATTCTTATCAAAATTCCAGTTGCATTTTTCACAGAATTAGAAAAAGGCACCTCTAGGTCATATATAGTCACAAAAGATCCCTAATTTACAAAATAAAAAAAGAACACATACAGGAATTACACCCTCCCCCCCGCCCCCCCGCAATCAACTACAAAGCTGTAGTAATCAAAACAGCCTGGTGCTGATATAAAAGCACACACATAGAGTAATGGAGCAGAATTGAGAACTCATAAATGAATCTGTACAGACAGTGTCCATTTATTTTCAACAAAGATGCCAGGAACACACAATGAAGAACAAACCATTTCTCCAATATGTGATTCTGAGAAGATGGAATGTTCAGATATAGAAGAGTAAATGTGGACTCTTTTGGTATATCCAAAAATGAATGCAAAATGGGTTACGGGCTTCGCTGTGAGCTCTGACTGAAATGTGTGGCAAAAGCATAGAAGAAAACTCTGTTGCATTATCCTGAGCAATGAGATTTTATTATGACTCCCAAATCACAGATAGCCAAAGCAAGACTAGACTCATGAGATTCTATCAAACAAAACGCTTTTGAACAGCCAAAGGAAGCAATCAATAAAGAGGTTATTTGGTCTGGAAAAGGTGTTGATTAGCATGGATGGAAAATGTTATGAGTCTTTGAGTTGAGTCTCATCAGAATGATGAAAATGAAAAGCTAAGCAAATGCTTCTGTGAAATCATTGTGGCCATATGGAACAGCAAAAGCAAGAGCTGATATGAGACCTGTGCTCTTAGAGGACACTGGAAGAGGAATACCTTTTAAAAACAACAAAGTGAAGTAAAATACAGGGTCAAGATAATGTATAGCTTGTAAATGAGGATAATCTGAAATTTCATAATGTAATGTGGCAGCTGCTTTGATTTAGCCCCCTTAGTGATCCAGATGGCTAATAATTCTTCTAAAATGTTTATTCTTTTATCTTTTTCAGTGCATTCTCTCTCTCTCTCTCTATGCATTTAGCTAGGGGTAGAGTGAAGGTCTCCTGGGAAAAGACTCTTTCATTTGATTGTGGTGTTAGTATACTATAAGTTAAACATTCTTTTTTAAAAGTTGTTTACTTAACTGATCAAGAAAAAATTTTATATGTGTATTGGGTACATCATGCCTTCGTATAGTTACGTATTGTGGAGTGACTAAGTCGGGTTAATTAACTTCTGTGCTTTTTCACATATTTTCACTTCTTTTTTTGGTGGTGGTGACACTTTATATTCCCTTGGCAATTTAAAAATACGCAATACTTTATTTTCTCAAATTCCTGTTGAATTTATGCATCCTTTCAAATGCCTGGCACAGATTGGCCAAGGCCAGACTAGAACTCAATCTAGGATTCTTGTGTATTTCTGGTATTAACCTCTTAGCTGATATTGCATTGTTTTGCTCCAAGGAATTACATTTTCTGAATTCTCCATCCATGTTTGTGTCATTAGGTTTTCAACAAGGACTGTAAGTTCCCCTTAAAGTCAGAGAAGTTTCAGCCATTTTTCATTGTTTTATGCAAAGTACAAAGAAAATGGCAGGAGAGTCACAAATCCAAATAAACAAATAAAGGAATGAAAAACTCTTTGTATTTAGGACAGATAAATCATCCACACCCTTACTATTTCAGTTTGATATTTACCAAAGTTCCTTTTGAAGCCTAAATTAGACATGGGAAGAATTTGTAAGGAAGTTAAAAGAGTTTGTCAGTGCTTGGTCAGTTGGGCAAAGAAGAAACAGAATGAACACAGAGTCAGTGATGGAGCAGCTTTCTCTTGCTTTTCTTTTCTTTTTTGCCTTATAAAAATGCTCATACCAGAATTATTCTATTCTCATGCTTAAGAGAGTTTAAGGTTTTTACAGTTTGTTCTTACTGACTCTTTTCTGCAGTAAGAAGTGGCATGGGTGCTGCTGAAAACCATTGTTACAATTTGTCTGGCGTGTGCCGAAGGGACAGCTGCAAAGTAACAGAAGATGAAATTGGTGGCTGCCGAAGAAGGTGGAAATGCTGTAGGATGTGGTGGATTCAAATGCCCATTCCAACGCCAGTAATCTTTTCAGATTATCAAGAACCCTTAAAGGGAAGGTTGAAATGAAACACAGAAAAACACCCATTGAAAAATTCTTTGCAACTAGCACTAGAACATACATATTAAACTCTTCTGGCTTCATAATCAGTTTCTCTTTTCCATTGTCAATAAAAGTAAATGAATATTGATTTCAGATCAACCCAGATGCCATTTCTGGATTCATTTGAAAAATCAAACAATATCTTTAAAGGAAGAAATCCTACTGATTTCTAACATAGTCTTTGTACTTTCATTGAACTCTTAGTGGAGTGTTAAGCCTTTGATGATGACATAAAGATATGCTATCTCAAGAATTTAAATAAACTTTTTTCAGATTTTCACAAACCCTCAAGAGATTAACATTAAAAGTTGTGGTGATAATAAAATTGTATAAAAATACAGTTACACAGACACAGAGCAGATAGTTGAATAGTGGGAAGCATTCAAGACTGTAGCTACATGAAGATAAAAGCACAACTATTGCTACCACCAGCCCCGGTATCACTCAGGCAGATCCATTAACAATAGCTTTGGGGCCAGCATGGTGGCACAGCAGGCAAATCCTGTCTGCCATGCCAGTATCCTGTATGGGTGCTAGTTGGTGTCCTGGCTGCTCCACTTTCAACTCAACTCCCTGCTTATGGCCTGGGAAAGCAGTGGAGGGTTGCTCAAATCTTTGGGCCCCGCATCTACTGGAAGACCTAGAAGTTCCCGGCTACAGATAAGTTCAGTTCTGGCTGTTGTGATCATTGGAGGAGTGACCACTAGCTGGAAGAACTCTTTGGATGCGTCTATGCTTTTCTCTGTACATCTGCCTTTCACATAAGAATAAAATAAATCTTTTTTTAAAAAAAAACAATAGCTCCAAAAAAATTTTAAATAACTTTGATAAAAATTAATCAAGGATGTGAAAGATTTCTACTATGAAAATTATAGAATATTAAAGAAGGAGCATAAAGATGGAAAAATCGCTCATATTCACACATTGGAAGAATTAATATAATCAAAATGCCCATATTTCCCCCCAAAAATTGTACAAATTTCCTGCACTCCCCTTCAGAATCCCAAGAAAATTCTTTGCAGAACTAGAAAAACAATCCTAACATCCATATGGATAAACAAAGGATCTCAAATTAGCTAAATTAACCTTAATAAAATGCAAAAGAATCATGAGAGATTTCAAGACATACTACAAGGCTGTTATAATCAAAGCAGCCAGGTTCTCATACAAATATAGGCTTGTATACCAGTAGGAACCACAAAAATATATCCACACATTTAATCCAACTAATTTTCAACAACAAGCTAAACTCATTCTCTGGAGAAAGTACAGTCTCTCCAACAAATGATATTGGAAAAATTGTATTTACTCATGCAGAGGTTGGAGACAATATTCTTGAGCTATACCCTACCAAAAAAATAAAATCAAAATAGATCAAGAGTCTAAAGTTAAGGGGCCAGTATTAGGACATAACAGAAGTACCATCTGTGACATTTGCATCCCATATGGGCACTGGTTCTGTTCCCAGTTGCTCCATTACCATCTGTCTCCATGCTAATGGCCTGGGAAGAGCAGCAGAAAGGTGATCCAAGTATTGGGCTCCTGCTACACACACAAGGGAGAGCTGTAACAAACTGCTGGGTCCTAACTTCTGTTTGACCCAACCCTGGCCATTTGGGGCCATTTGCAGAGTGATGTCTCCCTCCCTCCCTCTTGTTCTCCCTCTTTCAAATAAACAAATTTTAAAAAGAAGGAATCTAAACTTAAGACCCGAAGTCATCAAGTTTCTAAAGAAAAAATGCAGGGGAAATTGTAAGACAATATCCTAACAAAGACCTTTTGTATGTGACCCTAAAAGTACCCATAAAAGCAAAAAATAAATAGGACTATGTCAGACTAATTAGCTTCTGCACAGTGAGGAAATAATTAACAAAATGAAGAGACAACTGACATGATGGGAAACCATATTTACAAGTCACACAAACAATAAAGGACTATTATCCAGAATACGTAAGAAACCGAAGAAAGTCAACAAGAAAGCAAGTTATACAGCTACGAAATGAGCAAAGGATTGAGCAAAAATTTTTCAAAAGGAAAAAATACTGGTATTATGAAACAGTAGGTTAAACCACTGCCTGCAGTGGTTTGAGTCCCAGCTGTTCTACTTCTGAGATAGCTTCTTGCTAATGTACCTAGAAAAACAGCAGGAGGTGGCTCAAGTCCTTAGGCCCCTGCATCCACGTGGCAAACCCATATACAGCTCCTGCCTCCTGGATTTGGCCTGGCCCAAACCCTGTTGTCATGGCCATTTGAAAAGTGAACCAAGAGATGGAAGATTCTCCCTGTCTCTCCCCCTCCCTCTCTCCAACTCTGCCTTTCAAATAAATACGTGTTTAAATAAACACAATACAAGTGCCCAGCAGCCACATTAAATAATATTCAAGCTCACTAGCCATCATGGAAAAATAATAAGAATAAAAACAACAACAATAATGCAAACTACAGTGAGCTGTCACCTCATTCCAGTGAGAATGGCTGTTATTCAAGTATCAAAAACAGCAAATGCTAGAGACGTTGTGGAGAAAAGAGTACACTGGTATATTGTTGATAGGAAGGCAAATTGGTACGGCTATTATAGAAAACTGTATAGACATCTCAGAAAAACTAAAAATAGATCTATCATATGACTCAGCTATATCCCTCCTGGAAATATATCCACAGTAAGTAAAATCAACATATGAAGATGTTTGCATTCCCATGTTTATAGCAGGTCAATTCGGAACAGTAAATATCGGGAACCAACCCAGATGTCCAGCAGCTGTTTGCAAAAAGAAAATGTAATTTATACACATAAAGGGCTGTTATTCAGTCATGAAACAGAATGATATTCTGACATTTGCAACACAATTAGATGGACCTAAATGTCCTTATGAACCATGAATAAACCAGACTCAGAAAGGCAAGTATCATCCTTTATTTGTGGAAGTTAATATAGAGTATAAAACTTGTGTGGATGCTACATCATCTGGTAGGTATTATAAGCATTTCCTCACTGAATCATATCATATAAATGACAATATACTTTCCTTTCCCTACATTATGACTAGTGTCTATTCAAGGAAAAACAATGCAATATGTGTATGTAATGTGCATATCTGAAGTTAATGCAACAAAATGCTAAAGAAAAACCCTGCAAAATAATTTGTAAAATGTATAAAGGTAAACTAAGGGACAACAAAAATTTTTAACTACAAAAAAATTTGAAGTGGGGTCCGGTGGGAGCTGGAAGAGAAGGGGAGCATCAATGAGCTCTCTTGCTTCTGTCCTTTTTAGGGGATGCTTTCTGTTGATTGAAGGCTTTATTTCTGGGTGTACTTCTGGATACTGGTTTGGAAGAGTGTTTCCGCTTTAGCTGTGGTGATATTTATAGCGTTCTCTTCCCATGCTTTTATTTGCAAAGTGGAAGGTGCCCGTAACGGGAATCTGGGCTATTTCTGTGGCTCAGCGTCGACACGGAGACTCCTAATGCACAGATTTCCAGCCATCTCTCAAGGGAGGACCTAGTTTGATGAGCTTCTCAAGTGTTGGGAGGAGGCCTGGCTGGTACTGTGGGTATACCTGGCACATAGGTTCCCAGGCAGCATCCAAGTCAGGCACTGGCATTTCAAAATCAGTGCTGGCTCCAGCAACTTGGTGGACCTAGAGATTCCAACTGCTGGCTGGATCCAGAGCTGTGAGTTGCCTGAATTCTGGGTAGAGAAAGTGGGACCTAAGAGATACTGTCTGAGAGAGTGGCTGGATCTCTGAAAGTGAGTTTGGCTCTTATAACAGCAAGGCAAGCTGTCTTGTGTGCTGATCACTGTGTTGGGTTGGATACAACCACTTTTGGACCAAGTATCAAGGGAACAGAGGCTCTCAAACTCTGGTAGCTTCCATAAGAGAGTTGGAGCTCAAAACCCTGACCCTACACTGAGCTTGGACAGGGCACAAACATCCTGGGCCAGAGACCCCAGCAAGTTATAGTGTAGGATTACACTCAACCCAGAGAGCCCAGTTGTGAGTCCAGATAAGCTAGGTGTTAGAGAGCTAAATGGAGCTTGTATGGCTTACAGCAGAGCTCCTGGGCCATGCACTTGGGTGGACTGGGAGCTCTGGCCATTCTTTGTGGGAGAGGCAAGAGACCAGATTCCCCAGGATGAGCGTCGTATAGCATCTCTGATTACTGTAAGTGGGGATGGAGTGACATGGATGTGGACGCCAACTGATGTGTTCTGTTTCCCAGCTTTTTCCTGTACCAAACTGAACCAGCTGATTCACTTGTCAGAGAACTCAGCTCATCCACCCAGATATGTGCACCATCTGGAGCATCAACACACTCTGTGATTCACCCTCCAGTCCCACCAGGAGACCTGTCCCAGGTGTGCAGAGAACTTTAAGCCTCTATAAGTAAACTAGGCAGATGCACAGGAACCAAGCCACAACCTGCAGTTTTCAAGTGGTTGAGGAAAGAGAGGCAATGGGCAAGAGGATGACATTCAATTCTTTAAAAAAATATATTTATTTTTATTGGAAAATCAAATATACAAACAGGAGATACAAAAAGATTTTTCCATCTGTTGGTTCACTCCCCAGTTGGCCTCAACAACCAGACCTGAGCTGATCTGAAGCCAGAAGCCATGAGCCTCCGGGTCTCATATGTGGGTGCAGGGTCCCAAGGTTTTGATGATCTCCAATTCTCCAATTCTCAAGGGATGAAATTGCTTATTTCCAGAGTCCTAGGGGTTGTCTATGCCAGCTACCTTGCTCCAATGGTGTATTGCCATTGTGTAGAGTGCAGAGTGGTATATGGGTTAGAGTTCTGAAGTCACCATTGACCTGTTTTGCCCAGTTGGACCCTTGGGACTTAGTCTACCTTTCTAGGAATGTCTTTGGATTCACTTGGCTTCTGTCTTCTAGCACAGCAGTCCCCTCTCAAGAGATTGCCTCCCTGAGAGGCGCTGACATGGTCTCTGTCCTAAGTGGTGCAGGAGGAAATTGTGCCAAGTTCCTTCTCTGAAGTCGAGGAGCCCCAAGTTTTGCAGGGAGTGTTCCCTGGTCCAGCTGTTAGTCTGTGGTAGTTGGATTCTTCTCAGGAGGACTGCTTGAGTGAAGAGATTTTATCATGGGCTCATGCTCTTGCGCACACCTCCTCTCTCTTTGTTCCCCTTTCTCCTGTCTCCTTGCAGCCATGCTGCCACTGGTGAGCCGCAGTGCTCCTGCCATGCTGCCACAGCCTCAGCCCCTCCTGCTCAAACACTCACTTGCAGACTCAGCAGCTTTGGGCTTTCTTGACAGAGGAGGAAGCAAGCGTTGGACTGCCATCTTGAATTTCATTCTGAGGAATTGTTTAAGCAATGGTGATTAGAATGTTGGTAGGAATGTGGACAGAAGAGACCATGCTGAAGCAGTGTCAACTGGAAATGAGGAATTTCTCAGTGACCACTGTAGTAGAATTGTGCTTAGGATGAAGTCACAGCAAATGTCTGCATGATAGCTGTCCCCAGTGGCTTTACTGCACAACCTTAAGCCATTACATAAGACACTGTTAAGCCTGTTAAGCCATTAAGTAAGCCACTGGCAGAAGAAATATTAAGCAAAATAGGGACGAGGCTATGTGGCTTCTTTTAACTGCATATGGAAACGGGAGAAGAGGGATTTTATTTTACAGGCTTGTGAACAGGCGGAAGCAGACATGGACTAGCTAGCTATAAACCTTAGAACTTATACAGACAGAACAAAGAAAAGCCTTGGTGAGGACAGGTGGAATATGTCACCTCTTATACAACGACCGCTCAAGTAACACTTCAAGGATATGCTGTCCCTACCCCTCCTTCAACCGAGGCCTCCAAGGTGGCATCTGAGACCATCGTGCACCCTCTCCCTCCCCCATTACCACAAACACATCTCACTCACCCCTCCTTCCCATCCTGACCCTCTCCATCCTTACCAGAAATCCATATGAACTGCAGTTCCCATCCCCTTACCTCTGTAATGAAAGCCAAAGAATTAATGAAGTTCAGGCGTGATAGCCTAAGGCTAAATTCTCACCTTCTAAGTGTCTGGATCCCATATGGATTGTAATTTGTGTCTCAGCTGTTCCACTTCCAATCCAGCTCCCTGCTTGTAGCCTGGGAAAGCAGTGGAGGATGGCCCAAGTCCTTAGGATCCTGCACCCATGTGGGAGACCTGGAAGAAGTCCCTGGCTCCTGGCTTTGGGTCAGCTCAGCTCCAACCATTGCAGCCACCTGGGGAGTGATCTTAAGGAGCAAGCAGAGCCAAAAGATCTGGAAAATGCCATGTAAAAAAATGTTCATAGCAGCACAATCAATAATTGCAAAAACTTGGAAGCAGCCAAAATGTCCATCAACAGAAGACTGGATAAGAAAACTATCGTTCATCTACTCTATGGAATACTCTCCAATATTTAAAAAATGAAATGCATTTCTTCGTAGCCAAATGGGCCGAATTGGAAACGATTATGCTAAGGGAAATGTGCAATCCCAAAAGGTTAGATACCACATGTTTGCCTTAATTTAAGATGAAATGACGTCAATCCTAAAAATGATATCTGTAAATTGTAATATTATTACACCCTCTAACGGCCTATATCACATGCAATAAGATGTTGTGATGTAACCAATGAGAGACAGACTGCTTATGATCTACATCAAAGAACTGAAAAGCCTGATATACTTTTAATATCCTATGTTATTCCACAATGGGTCAGGAGAGCAGAGAAATCTTCCACTTAGAGTATGTGAGGATGATGTTAAGTATAATCTATCAAGATTGTAACAGGTAACTTACAGGCAGCAGACTCAAATCTGCATTAGACATTAACAAAAACTATAAAGACATACAGTGGGATCAAGAACAATCCTGACAGCCTCTTAACAGTGGGTCATATGCACAGAGAAGGAGGGGACCTCAGAGTGGAACAGGAGGACAGGAAGAGGCTTGTATCTTAACCCTGGAGACTCCCGGATCCTCACCAAGGACTATCAGTATGGGCACCAAGGACTATATCCCAACTGCCAAAGAGATCACAGGGAATTGGAGTGCCCTCCTAGGCCAAGAACTCTGAGGTCATCCATTCCCTATTGGAATTCCCACAAGGGATGGAAGAAGCCCAGATCCTTCCTCACAGGATCTAATGTCATTGGAACAACAGCCAGGAGTCCTGAGCGGTCCCCATAAACAGAAGAACAATAAACTTCCTTCAAGACTCAGGAGAGGAGCTTTCTCTGTTTCTTACTTAGTTCCAACTTTGGCTCCCCATCCTCTCTTGCAACGACCATCAGGTTCACTCTGTAGGCCCCCCACCTCCCCCCAAAAAAACAACAAAAAATTAGAATAGATAGAGAACAACAAGGAAAGCTTAGAACCAGACAGGAAATAATCAGCGTGGACTCACACATACCTCACTAGGTAGGACACAAGGATCAGTTACTCCTCACTAAGGTATTGAAGTTTTCTCTGCACACCCCTCCTAAAACTGTTCTGCACCTCAACTGTTGACATATGCTTTGTTTGAGTTATAACCCAGTTTAGACTATCATAAAATCTGTCAAGTTCAGCAAAATTATGCTTCAACACTATAAACTCCTAAATACTAAAATGAAAATAGACACGAGACAGCTGAATAGTACCCTATAGCCATTTTAAGTTGTATAGAAGCCGGTTGTATATAAACTAAAATTGAAACGTCAATGAATTAGTCAAGGATGTGGTTAAGAACTTGCATTTATTTTTAACATATTGGTTACTCAATACCATGTCAATTAATTCTGTAATGTTGTAAATTGTTATTGATGTTATGTTGTGGCTTTTAATTGATCGGGATGATATTCTGCCAGCTCTGCCTTCAGACCAGAGATGGTCTCCCCAAGAAACCATTGAATTTATCTGGACAATAAGATGTTGGACTCTATGCTTGGTATATGCTTGCAATGAAAGAATCTTGACTGAATTTGAACTGTACTACTGCAACAATGTGGAGGAATCCACCATGGGGGGAGGGTTAGAGGAGGGATGGGGGGAATCCCAGAGCCTATGAAACTGTGTCACGTAATGCAATGTAATTAATAAAAAAAGTACTATCTTTTAACTCCTTTTATTCAGGAATGTTTGAAGTCCTCTTGCATTAATTTGCAGTATAAATGGAGTGCATTTGCGTTCCAGACACCATTAAAAATGTTATATACATGTGATATTTGCCTCCTTATTTAGAAATAGCTTAATAGAGAACATGGATTCTCTATCTATCAATGGGCTCCAGACAATTATCTTATATTATCTTATCCCTGTTGTGGAAAATCCTGAATTGTGAGAGTGTACTCGTACAAGTCAGAGTATTTTTGATAACCAGGACTTCATTTTTCTGTACCAGCATGTCTTTAATTTTTGGCCCGGTTCAATAGGAAACTAACAGTACTGATCTCTGGTGAAAGTATAAGAGAAAAAAAGGAAAGGGTTAGCCACCTGGTTTCCTTTCATTGAGTTAATTTGTCACCAAATTTAGAAACTACAAGGTTTGGGAATATTCCAACGGAAGCTATTTCATTTCTTTATTTGTTAAGCTTCACTAACCAAGAGGAAGCCCAGGCCCCCAGAAGTAAATAAAAGATCCACTCTACCATCCCTAATCATACTCCACTCTACTGAGCACTCAACCATGAGACTCTTTTCCCTCATTTCTGTTCTCCTCCTGCTTGTGACTATAATACCAAAAGGTAAGATGGCACATGATTGTAGAGGTAGGTGTCTTAAAGGTCTACTAGGATGCTCAGTTCTACCTTGGTCACTGTAACTCAGACCCTAGTGCATAGCTTTAGGAATTCAGAAGTTTGACAATCATCTTGTTTATTTAAAAATATTAATTCTTCATATTTTATTTGGAAGGTAGAGAGACAGAGATCTTCCATCTACTCGTTCATTCCCTGAATGCCTACAAGAGTTTGTAGCTTGGACAGATGAAAGCTTGGAGCCCAAAACTCAATCTGGGCATTCCATGAAGGTAGCAGGGACACAATTACAGGAACAATCATTTGCTACATTGCAGGATATGTATTAGCAGGATTCTGGAATTTGAGGCATAACCAAGGTGTGAGCCTAGGCAATCCAATATGGGATGGGCACATCCCAAATGACACCTTAACTATTTTGCTAAATATCCACTTCAGTCATCTCCTTTAGAACTAGAGGTCAAAATTAGGAAGCCATTTAAGGAATTTCAACATAGAAAAGGATCCAAGAGCTAAATGATTAGGGAATGGGGTTCAAATACAAATAGGTCTAAAAGCTTTGGGATGCCACTTACCATTTATAGTCTACAAGGCAAATAGCTCATAGTCATCACCAGAAGACCACTCTCCTAAAGGAAGAATGGGGATGACAGCTGTTGGCTCATGCTTGGTCAGGGTATGGAAGCTCACAATGTCAATTGGTAAGGAATATTCATGAAGAGCAAGAGTTAAGCACATAAGACAAAGCTTATAAGAAAATACTACATCAAGTTGTTTAAGACCAATACAATTTTGGTAGCAGGAAAGCTTGGGAAAAAAGTATACAAGTGACTTTTCAAGGGCAAAATTTTAAGCCTAAACTAAGTAGGACATAAGTAGCATTTCTGGAAGCTGAGCTGCAATCTAAGAAGGGCCCATGATTCAGAAGTTTGAAAATGAAAAGAAAATATAGTTGGGATCCTGGTAAAAAGAGAGAAAATCTTTTTTCTGCTGTCAAGGGTAGGATATTCAATTTCATTAAATAACGTCTGTGACTATTGAACCTTGGTTCATCTCTCAGTCTATTAAATACAAAGTTATTTCTTGTCTGATCTTGGCCTAATTGATGAGCATCTTGGTGTCCACCTGACATACAGCTGTTTCCTCCCAAAGGAGCTGATGGAATTGTCATTTTGTTCTCAGCCCTGGTCAGAAGACACAACTATGGATTCTTTGTAGTAACAACGAGGCAAAAAGGATGTCATGTTAATGATGAAAAATTATCTTCATTTTAGATAAGAGAAGCCATGCCTACATACCTGATCATGCAAATCCTATCAGATAAAAACAAACATTGGTTCCATGAAGAAAATTTCTCTTTAGAAACCATATAAAATATTGGTTTATCACCCAAGAGTCAAATAAATTTTAAGGGATCATTGATCAAATACATATCTTCATATATCCTTGTTTCTCTCAAAAAAGAATGCATGCTATACCTATGATATAAATATTCATCCATATTATTCATACATATATGTGGAGATATATATATATTTGTGTATGTGTATGCCTGTGCTGAGTGTATTGGCATAAAGAGGTAAGAATGAGAAAACGCTTCAGTTAATTCATTAGACCCCTGATTTTGGAGGAGAGTATAATACTTAGACAATCATAGTGAACAAAGCTTGAATTTTGTGTTATACAGAGGGAAGAAGGTTGCCATTTAATTTTTTTAGTTGAATTTTCTTTGTATAAAGATTTATTTATTTATTGGAAAGTGAGATACACAGAGAGGAGGAAAGAGAAAGGAAGATCTTCTGTCCATGGTTCACTCCCCAAGCGGCCACAATGACTGGAGCTGAATCAATCCAAAGCAGGAACCAGGAGCCTCTTCTGGGTCTCCCACATGGGTGTAGGGTCCTAAGATTTGGGGGCATTCTCGATTACTTTCCCAGGCCACAAGCAGAGAGCTGGATGGGAAATGGGGCCGCCTGGGATAGAACCGGCACCCATATGGGATCCCAGCAGGTTCAAGGCAAGGACTTTGGCCACTAGGCTACTGTGCCAGGCCCTAGTTGAATTTTCAAGAAGAACCTATCTCCACCCCAATCCTACCCACCACCACACAGCGTTTAGTAACTCCATGAGTTGTGATGCTGAGAAGGCATACCCAGTTAGAGATTAAATCGGTGTAATACCACATGACATTCCATTTAATTGCAGTTCTATTTTCTCCCTTCTGTAGAATGGGGACACAGCTAAATAAGTGAACACCCAAACTGTATCTTTTCCCAATAGCAATAGTTAAATATGTACCTTTTCTCTCATTACCCCGCATATGTAACTATTACAAAATGCCATTATAAATTCTGAAATTTCTTGGAAAGTTGGTTTCTTCTATTGCTTTTTTAAGTCTATTCTTGTGCCAATAAATCTGAAAGTAAATTATTATCTAGAAATACCTTTCCTCATGAATCAGATCATTTGATACCATTTTGCTGACTTGAACGAGTGTTTTGGCGGGGAGAGTACACACAGACATCGGTGTAAACGAGATTATAACACTGACTTCCTCCTCAGAGATTGTCTCCTTAGATGAATTCGCACGAGAGGCATTTCCCAAGTAGAGAGAATGATACTGAGGTCAAGGGCTAGGTAGCAAGGCTGGACTTTTGCAGTCTACATGGTTAGGAGTCTCTACTCAGCTAGGGGAGAGATGAGTTCTCCACAGTTACAGACTAACACATTCCACTTCATTCTCCGCGGGATACCTCTCTGCTGCTACACCCTACTTCTTATTATATTTTTCAGTTCTAATAAACCTTGGTTTTAACATTGGAAAACCTGACCGTCTTACCAGCTGTTGCTCTAACTGCATTGACAGTTACTGGGGAAAGAACAGCTCCTGGCTGCAGGCCTGCTATGGTGCTGAGCGTGAAGCTCGTTCTCTGCAGAGACAGTACTGCTTCCTCAATGTTTCCCACAATTGACTACTGAGACTCCAGTTCTTGCCCTGAAAGGCATTTTGTCTCCAAGTACAGGCCTGGGAAGACAGAGGCAGGATTACAAGGTGTTATCCTTCTCCAATGGCATGCCATTTTCTTGTTGCTCAGACTCTGGGTTAAGGACTCAATAACAAATGAAAGAGCTGATTGCACTGGGCTGAAGCTTCTAACACAGCCCTGCACAGGTTATGAACACTCAGTTCCAAAGGTTTGTACCAGTGTATGTGGTTATGGCATATTTCTACAGAGTAGAGATGCAACAGTGAGAGTCTAATTTAAGCACACAATGACAATAACAACAGAAAGATCTAGAGCCAAAATTTAAAAAATATATCAAATGTTTAGTCAAAGAATAGAAGTTAGGCAACAATGCAGCCAGTCAGGGTTGGTCTATTAAAGGATAGTTTGAAAACTAACTTCCAGTAAAAGCAAAAGCAGAAGTCTGTCTTCAGTAGCATTCCCTGAAGTCCACGGTGGAAACAATGAACCTGCTTGTGCTGGAAAGAGAAGAGCAAGGAAACCACCCTGTTGCACTCACATCTAGTTATGAACTGGTCAGGGTCAAGTGAACGACGAATACATACAGATAAACTCAGGGAAAACACCTTTGGACTGTGAAGGGAATTCTATTGTACATCTGTATACAATGGCCATTGAATAACACAAATCTGCAGTCTGGAGCATCGGTAGGCTTTCCCTAAAAGGGGGTAGAGATGAGACCAAGGGCCCGATGCTAAGGACTGATGCCAGCACAGACAGAGCAGAGGAAGGACAAAGCACTTCTTGATGGAGGCACTGTTGGCACTGGGTCAGACAACCATCAGTGCTGTGCCATTCCCACAACATCTCAAAGACACCTTCCCAGTCTGAGTGAAAGCACCAGCTCCACATGTTGTAAAACACACTCCTGTAGCTGAAAAAGCATTTTAGAAATCAGCCTGCCCCTCCACAATGCTCAGAGTGCCTGTAGCTTAAGGCGTTGTTTTTGTCCCAGTGTCTGGTCCTTCCAAACAGATAATGTCATCTCCTACCCTGAAACTATCCTCTTGGGAACCAATGGATATAAGGAGACCTCTAGTAATTTTATGATGAATTAATGATGTTATTAAATCTCTTCCTGTGCAGGAAACACTGGTGTTATTCCAGGACAAAAACAGTGCCTTAACTTGAAAGGACTCTGCAAAGATGGTGGATGTACCACCACGGAAGACACCATTGGCATCTGTAACCATGAAAAAAAATGTTGCAGGAAATGGTGGATATTCGAACCATATGCAACACCAGTTCCTAAAGGAAAATCCAATTAGATGGAGACAGACTGTAAACTCTCTTCAAACATCAGAATCCATGTACAAATTAGTCAGACTTCTGCTAAACTAAGTTTTCTTTTTTTTTTTTTTTTGTCTCTTAACTGGAAATAAATATTGTTCTAATTCCACAGGTTATAAATCTTGGGGGCATTTCTTCATGATGCACATGCAGGTCTTTCAAGAACTCAGAGAACAAACTAGATACTAGAAAAACTTCACACTCTAAAGTTAGGGATGCAATAGATGAGTGTGTAAGAAAAATGAGAGAGGCAAAATTTTTAGATGTGCAACATAATATACTGTAAAATGATAGCAGGTGGTGCCTGAAGTAGACATACCAAACTGTCTGAAGTAGAATATCAATCCTCTTCTCATCTGTCTCTGAGAAAGTGTCATTTTCATCACTTCTGGAGGTATCCTTGGAGAATATAGGTTAAAATTCACTAACCAGATGGCCTTGCTAATTCTGCACCTGAGAATTAGGCACATGGATTTGGGCTCTACTCTCAAAAGATACTCTCAAATGCCATAATCCTGAATGTTTAAAACTTCAAAAAGATAAAAATACCAAAAGTACAAAAACTAGAAAGGTTAAAATCACAAAAAAATGCTTTTAAATATTTTAAAATTTACTTTCTTTTAGTTTATAGACAGAGAATGAGAGGCAGAGAGAGATGAAGAGACAGAAATCTTCTATTTCTTAGATGAAATCTCAAATGTTGGCATGGACAGGAACCAGGAACTCAGTTGGGATCTCTCGCGTGGGTAGCAGAAAACACAGTGCATGAGCACCTGCTGCCTTCCAGGATGCACCTTAGCAGGAACCTGGAGCTCAAGAGGTGGAGCCAGGCACTGTGATGGGATATGAACATCTCAAGTGGTTACTGAACTGAGGCATCAAACCTGTGCCCCTGGAAAAAAATGAAAAAAAAAAATTAAGGTGTTTATTTACCTTGTAAAAGGGCTATTTACTTGAGTAGCATATAAAATCGTGATAAAATATTTCATCAACCACTATACACAGTAAAATAGACAATAACAACACACAGATTTTTGCAAGCAAAAACTCTCAGGTATGACAGCCACTCAGGTATAAGACAACCATATTTTAAAAACTAGTTCAGAAAACCAAATGTCAGACAAATACTACATGCTCTTCTTCATATGTGGAAGCTAAGCTGTTTTTAAATCTGGGGGAAAAGGAATAAATAAATGTGTGTATCAACATTGCAGGAAAACAGGGCTTTGTGAGATTTTGCTTTCAAATTGCTAAGAATTATGTAATACTGTCTGAATGATTTCCATTTCAAAATGACCTTCCTATGTGTGAAATTGAACAAACTTCCATGTGTTCATTGTTTATAGCCTCTGCCCATTTTTTCTGTTGACTTACAGTCTTTTTACTTTTATTTATTGAAATCTTTATCTATATGTGCATTAACACTTTCACTATAATGTAAGTTAAAAACATGTTATTTAGACTCAGCGTGATAGCTCAACTTGCTAATCCTCCTCCTGTATATGGGCACCAGTTTGTGTCCCAGCTTCTGCACATCCTATCCAGCTCCCTGCTTGTGACCCGGGAAAGCAGTAGAGGATGGCGCAAATCTTTGGCATCCTGCACCTGTATAGGAGACGCAGAGAAACTCCTTGCTTCTGGGTTTGGATCAGCTTAGCTCTGGCCATTGAAGACCCTTTGGGGAGTGAACCAATGGATCAAAGATCTTTCCATCTCATTTTCTTTCTGGAAATCTGCCTTTTCAATAAAAATAAATAAATGTAAAAATAATGTTGTCTCAAAAATAATAAAATGAATGGATAAACTAAATAAACAACAACATAGAAAAGTGCATGAATGCATGCTTCTGTCAGTGTGTCTGTGTGTTCACCTTTGTAAGTGAGGCCATCTGAAATATCATGACAAACTGTTTTGTGACAATCAAAATTCATAATGGATCATCATTGCATACACAGTGGCCCAAAAGGCTGAGATTGTAAGAAATCTCATCTTTTACAAACACATAAACACAAAAGAGTATTTCTTCATTTATCAGTGAAGTTTCAAACTTTTCATGTCTATACATAATGCTTGCGCACAAAGTTAATATTGTGAGACTTAACTTTCTTGATGTCAAATATACAAAAACGTATAAAATAAATCAGACCTTTCTGAAAGTCTTGATATAATTTATATCTCAAATATTCCAAATGATATGAAAATAAAGTACATACTAAAGTACATTATAAAAAAGCAATACTGCTCATCTTAAATAGTGGGGGAAATAAAAGAGAAACAAACAGAAATAAAAAGAAAATTTGATATATGAAAAGCTACATGACAATCTCAGATGATGGCAATTTCTTGGACATAGTTCATGTGCTAAATGACTTTCAAACTTATTAACCATAATTTAAAGGCATAGTAACTAACAACTATGCTTTTTTCCTTTTAAGGCATGACTTGTCAGAAAATGTGTTTGGGGCCCAGCATGTTAGCCCAGTGTCTAACGTCCTCACTTTGCGTGTGCTGAGATCCCACATGGGTACGAGTTCTAATCCCGGCAGCTCTGTTTCCCATCCAGCTCCCTGCTTGTGGCCTGGGAAAGCAGTTGAGGACAGCCCAAAGCTTTGGGACCCTGCACCCATGTGGGAGACCTGGAAGGAAATTCCTGGATCTTGGCTTCGGATCGGCATAGCATCGGCCGTTGCAGCTCACATGGGAAGTGAATCATCGGATGGAAGATCTTCCTCTCTGTCTCTCCTCTTCTCTGTATATCTTACTTTCTAATACAAATAAATCTTTTTAAAAAAGAAAATGTGTTCATATCCATTTTCTCTAGGATTCTGTTTTTAAGTTTTTCTATAGGTTGATGTGCACTGACATGAACATGTTGTTTCTACATGAATATCCATGTCAGGTGCACAGACTAGAGATTGGACAGAAATAACACTGGTGGGCCCGGTGCGGTGGCGCAGTGGTTAAGGTCCTCGCCTTGCACACCCGGGATCCCATGTGGGTGCCGGTTCTAATCCCGGCAGCCCCGCTTCCCATCCAGCTCTCTGCCTGTGGCCCGGGAAAGCAGTCCAGGATGGCCCAAAGCTTTGGGACCCTGCACCCGCGTGGGAGACCCGGAAGAGGCTCCTGGCTTCGGATCGGCATAGCATCGGCCGTTGCAGCTCACTTGGGGAGTGAATCATCGGACGGAAGATCTTCCTCTCTGTCTCTCCTCCTCTCTGTATATCTGACTTTCAATAAAAATAAAAATCTTTAAAAAAAAGAAAGAAAGAAAGAAAGAACACTGGTGATGGAACAACGAGAGTGTTGTGTATGCCTTTTAAAACTTTATTTCATTTTTTTTTTTGGAAAACAAAGTTAAAGGGAAAGAGAGTGATACAATGCCAGATCTTCTGCCTGCTTGCTCATTCTCCGGATGATCACAATGGCCAGAGATCAGCTGTTCTAAACCCAGGAGCCAGGAATTCCATCAGGGTCTCCCAGATGAGGAGGCCCAAGGACTTGGGCCATTTTTCATTGCTTTCCTAGGGGAGCAGCTGGGACATGAGCCAGATTCAGAATGGGATGTCAGCCTTGCAGGCCATGGCTTTTACCAGCTAGCCTCAGGGCCAGCCCCTGTGGGTGCTTCTGATCTTACCTGTTTCGGTGATTTTTTGAGTTTTTGTCATTGCTGTATTGTGTGGCCAATACCCAGAATTTCAGCTTTCTATCCCACTTACAAGATCCCTTTTTGTGAAATCTGTTGTTCTTAGGATTGTAGCTTCCAACATTGCAGTAACAGGGTTGCAGAGTTTCAGGAATGAGATTTTCAGAATTTTAGCCTTTAAGAATATTGATCATGTGAGATTTTGAATTTTCCCAGAATCATTTGCAGAAGAGACAGTCCTTTCTTCAGGGAGTGATTTTAGTACATTTGTCAAAGATAGGCTGGGTGTAAATGCATGGTTTAATTTCTGGGGCTCCTATTATGTTGCATTGGTCTACATGTCTATTTTTGTGCCAGTATCAGGCTGTTTTTGATTACAACTTCCTTCTGTGTTATGTCTTGAAATCTGGTATTATGTTGCCTATGACTTTGATTTTTGTATAAAGACCAAAGATGTTAGACTCCAACTGAATCACTTTATTTTTTCCATTTCAAAATTATCATTATTATTTTATGATACCGTTCCATAAGCTCTGGGATTTCCCTAACCACCTCCCCAAACCCTTTCCCTCCCAACACATTAAATGCCCCTATATTATTATTATAGTACAGTTCTTCATAAACAGTCATGTGCTCTTCATAAAGAGTCATATGTCCTTCATTGTCATGCCACCTCCAGTGGAGCCTGTGTGAGGAATCACCGGGCCAAGGCGGAAGCTTCAAGGAAGGATGCCTCCTGTGCTCGGCTGCATCTCTAGTGGTCTTGGCATTCCTGACTGTACTCTCTTTGCTCTTATCTTTATGGCTGGAATAATACTATTTATGTGTAGCAAAGGCTCAATGTTCCTTTATAGTTCTATGAAGCCTTCTGACAGGAGACTGGACAAGGGTATCAAGCAGTATGAGATAAAAAACTATCAAGTCACTAGCTTTAACAAACCTACCTGGGACTATTTTTGAGAATTCCTAAAAAGAAGATTATAGTAGAAATCTATAGCTTAAAAAGCCATACAGGAAGAAAAACTAGAAATATAGACAGGTTAATATTCAAACCAATGTAAGACACAAGGCACCATGAGAGCTAACTGCTTAATGGTTAAAACCGCAGCTGGTGCCTAGCCGTGTCCACAAGAAATAGCAACTGCAGTCTGTCACCAGGCTGTTCGAGAACAATCTTTTCTCAACAGCCCCATTTACCTTCCTGGAATAATTGTTTGTAAAAATGTAACCACATGAATAAGCAAAGAAAATGTCCCTTTGCAATAATCTGTTGCATATAAGCTGATGCCTTGCTTTTGCAAAATGCATTCAAGTACAACTGCCTTGAGTTGTCGT